GTATTTCCAATGTTCATTACATTTAAATTTGATATTCATAAGTGACAACTAATGAAAACTCCAAATTTGGTATCTCAAAAAATTAGAATATTCTGAAAAGGCTGAATATAGAAGACACCTGCTGCCACTCTAATCAGCTGATTTACTCAAAACACCTGCAAAGGCCTTTAAAAGGTCCCTCAGTCTTGTTTTGAAGGCACCACAATCATGGGGAAGACTTCTGACTTAACAGCTGTCCAAAAGACAATCATTGACACCTTGCACAAGGAGGGCAAGACACAAAAGGTGATTGCTAAAGAAGCTGGCTGTTCGCAGAGCTCTGTGTCCAAGCACATTAACAGACAGGCGAAGGGACGGAAAAAATGTGGTAGAAAAAAGTGTACAAGCTCTAGGGATAACCGCACCCTGCAGAGAATTGTGACGACAAACCCATTCAAAAATGTGGGGGAGATCCACAAAGAGTGGACTGCAGCTGGAGTCAGCGCTTCAAGAACCACCACGAGGAGACTCATGAAAGACATGGGATTCAGGTGTCGCATTCCGTGTGTCAAGCCACTCTTGAACAAGAAACAGCGCAAGAAGCGTCTCGCCTGGGCCAAGGACAAAAAGGACTGGACTGATGCTGAGTGGTCCAAAGTTATGTTTTCTGATGAAAGCAAGTTCTGCATTTCCTTTGGAAATCAAGGACCCAGAGTCTGGAGGAAGAGCGGAGAAGCACAGAATCCACGTTGCATGAGGTCCAGTGTAAAGTTTCCACCGTCAGTGATGGTGTGGGGTGCCATGTCATCTGCCGGTGTTGGCCCACTCTGTTTCCTGAGGTCCAGGGTCAATGCAGCCGTCTACCAGGAAGTTTTAGAGCACTTCATGCTTCCTGCTGCTGACCAACTTTATGGGGATGCAGACTTCACCTTTCAACAGGACCTGGCACCTGCACACAGTGCCAAAACCACCAGCACCTGGTTCAAGGACCATGGTATCTCTGTCCTTGATTGGCCAGCAAACTCGCCTGACCTTAACCCCATAGAAAATCTATGGGGTATTGTGAAGCGGAGGATGCAATACGCTAGACCCAACAATGCAGAGGAGCTGAAGACGACTATCAGAGCAACCTGGGCTCTCATAACACCTGAGCAGTGCCACAGACTGATCGAGTCCATGCCACGCCGCATTACTGCAGTTATTGAGGCAAAAGGAGCCCCGACTAAGTATTGAGTGCTATACATGCACATTCTTTTCATGTTCATTCTTTTCAGTTGGCCAACATTAGAGAAACAAACATTTTTTCATTGGCCTTTAGAATATTCTAATTTTCTGAGATACCAGATTTGATGTTTTCATTGGTTGTCACCTATAAATATCAAAATTAAACGTAATAAACATCGGAAATACATTGGTCTGTGTGCATTGCATGAATATAATGTACAAGTTTCACGTTTTGAATGGAATTACTGAAATATTTTCAACCTTTTGATGATATTCTAATTTACTGGCCAGCACCTGTATTTAGGGGTATATTCATGTTTTCTGGTGTTTTGTAATGATTACTAATAATTAAATAATGAACTGAAACAATTTTCAGAACAATTCTGTTGGTCTATTTTTTTAGCAGAGGGTCTTGTGTAAACCTCATGGTAGAAAATGTTTAGCACAAAATCACATTGATGGTTTGTTTTTTAAATTATTGTCACAGTAAAAATAATGCATAAAGCTTGGTTTATGCTTGACACATTTACTTTCTGCGCGGTGATGCGGCTCGTGGATGGAACGAGCTTCACAACTCGCAGCGTTTATGGTTCATGCGGCTTGTCTCTGCGGTGAGCCAATATTCTCCCAAACTGTAGGGGGCAGCATGGAGCTCTACAGCATGCATCCAACACTGCACCATAGTAGAAGTAAAAATTACTGTTTACAACATGGCATTCCAGCATTTTTAACAGCGTCCTCGTCTTTTCCGACAGGGCGAGCTATTTCTCTCCAAGAATTATTAACAACATGTTGATCACGGCGATCTCTGAGAGCTGAATCATACAAATGTCTGTATTTACGAACCTCTACCATACTAGTTCTTGCCGGTTCGCCATGTTTTTCCACGTCCGACCGTCCGCGTGGTTAGAAAATATCCTAAGTGCGCGTTGCGGAAATTTTGGGCCGTGCGGAGACGCGGTGGAGGGGCGTGGTTGTTAAAATGACGCAACTTTTCCGCGCGGAGCCGTGCGGACCTCGCGGATGCGTCAAGCATAAACCAACCTTAAAGGTCAGAGGTCACTAAAAACCCACTGTTCAATAGATACAATTCTGAAGCCCACGAGGACAAAAGAACATGTTTTTATGAAGCACCTCAAAACTCACAAGTTGCTTCACAAGCACATTAAAAATAAAAAAAGGTTAACAAACAGATCGTACTGGGAGAAAATTACGTAGTAGTTTTTAATGTTTTTATGGTATGATTTATATGACTATTGGAAATAATAATATGTGCTGAACCTTGATTTGAAGAAAATCATGAATCGAACTTAAATCGCAATTTCTCTTAGAAAAATCCCAATTCTATCTTTTCCTAAAATCGTTCAGCCCTAGCGTGCAGTGATGGTAGAACTGCCTAACTTACAGGCTTGAGTGTTGTCAGGCTGAAGGTCCTCCAGCAGCTCCTTCTTCTTCATGATTTCATCCTGAGCTTCGTTCAGCTGGATCCTGAGAAAACAAAAACAAACCAGTCATCAACTTCCTCCATCAGGACAAAAATGTAATCAACATGCATGTAAAACACGTAAACACACTCACATGTGAGCATCCAGTTTCCGCTTGAGATTTGACTGAAAGGAACCGATGAGACATCTAAATAAATACCTGAGCTGTCACTTTGTGACTGTTGAGTGAAAATATATTAAAATTAGGGTTGGGCATCGAGCATCGATTGGAACCGGTTCCAGCTGTTCATTTTTCCCAGAATCGTTCAAAGTTTTTTATTTCGATTCCTATAATGCGACCAGAAGAGGAATCCCCGGCCGACCTCCGTGAAAGATAAACGTGATCTGCAAATTGTGATCAACGCTTTTCAGAGCTGATCACACCAGCTGTCTGTGTGCAGCACCGAGTCCCCCCTCCCTCCCTCCACCCGGCGTGCAGCGGCCAAGTATAAAACGTGTCTGCAGAACTTTTACTCCCTAATGTAAACTTTAACTCCTGCAGCGTAGAGGAAACTTGTTAAAATACGTCAACACGGTGGATTTAATAGAAGCTTTAAAGAATAAACTCTGGACGGTGTGAGGTGAGTTTGTCTCACTGCAGAAATGAAAACACACACGGAGCGTCAGCAGTCAGACGCAGCCGCTCGTTAGGCGTTGGGGGAGCATCGGAAGGCTGAACAATAGAGCAGCTTTCTCTGTGGTGGACCACACCAGCTTCTGCCACAACAAATAATTATAATAATAATAAATCACAGACCACACCAGCTTCTGCCACAATAAATAATTATCATAATAATAAATCATAGACCACACCAGCTTCTGCCACAATAAATAATGATCATAATAATAAATCACAGACCACACCAGCTTCTGCCACAATAAATAATTATAATAATAATAAATCACAGACCACACCAGCTTCTGCCACAATAAATAATGATCATAATAATAAATCACAGACCACACCAGCTTCTGCCACAATAAATAATGATCATAATAATAAATCACAGACCACACCAGCTTCTGCCACAATAAATAATTATAATAATAATAAATCACGAACCACACCAGCTTCTGCCACAATAAATAATTATCATAATAATAAATCACGAACCACACCAGCTTCTGCCACAATAAATAATTATCATAATAATAAATCACAGACCACACCAGCTTCTGCCACAATAAATAATTATCATAATAATAAATCACAGACCACACCAGCTTCTGCCACAATAAATAATTATCATAATAATAAATCACGAACCACACCAGCTTCTGCCACAATAAATAATTATAATAATAATAAATCACGAACCACACCAGCTTCTGCCACAATAAATAATGATCATAATAATAAATCACAGACCACACCAGCTTCTGCCACAATAAATAATTATAATAATAATAAATCACAGACCACACCAGCTTCTGCCACAATAAATAATTATCATAATTATAAATCACGAACCACACCAGCTTCTGCCACAATAAATAATTATCATAATAATAAATCACGAACCACACCAGCTTCTGCCACAATAAATAATGATCATAATAATAAATCACGAACCACACCAGCTTCTGCCACAATAAATAATGATCATAATAATAAATCACAGACCACACCAGCTTCTGCCACAATAAATAATTATAATAATAATAAATCACAGACCACACCAGCTTCTGCCACAATAAATAATTATCATAATAATAAATCACAGACCACACCAGCTTCTGCCACAATAAATAATTATCATAATAATAAATCACAGACCACACCAGCTTCTGCCACAATAAATAATTATAATAATAATAAATCACAGACCACACCAGCTTCTGCCACAATAAATAATTATCATAATAATAAATCACAGACCACACCAGCTTCTGCCACAATAAATAATGATCATAATAATAAATCACAGACCACACCAGCTTCTGCCACAATAAATAATGATCATAATAATAAATCACAGACCACACCAGCTTCTGCCACAATAAATAATGATCATAATAATAAATCACAGACCACACCAGCTTCTGCCACAATAAATAATGATCATAATAATAAATCACAGACCACACCAGCTTCTGCCACAATAAATAATTATAATAATAATAAATCACGAACCACACCAGCTTCTGCCACAATAAATAATGATCATAATAATAAATCACAGACCACACCAGCTTCTGCCACAATAAATAATTATAATAATAATAAATCACAGACCACACCAGCTTCTGCCACAATAAATAATTATCATAATAATAAATAACGAACCACACCAGCTTCTGCCACAATAAATAATGATCATAATAATAAATCACAGACCACACCAGCTTCTGCCACAATAAATAATGATCATAATAATAAATCACAGACCACACCAGCTTCTGCCACAATAAATAATTATAATAATAATAAATCACAGACCACACCAGCTTCTGCCACAATAAATAATTATCATAATAATAAATAATGAACCACACCAGCTTCTGCCACAATAAATAATTATCATAATAATAAATCACAGACCACACCAGCTTCTGCCACAATAAATAATTATCATAATAATAAATCACAGACCACACCAGCTTCTGCCACAATAAATAATTATCATAATAATAAATAACGAACCACACCAGCTTCTGCCACAATAAATAATTATCATAATAATAAATCACAGACCACACCAGCTTCTGCCACAATAAATAATTATCATAATAATAAATCACAGACCACACCAGCTTCTGCCACAATAAATAATCATCATAATAATAAATCACGAACCACACCAGCTTCTGCCACAACAAATAATTATAATAATAATAAATCACAGACCACACCAGCTTCTGCCACAATAAATAATTATCATAATAATAAATCACAGACCACACCAGCTTCTGCCACAATAAATAATTATCATAATAATAAATCACGAACCACACCAGCTTCTGCCACAATAAATAATTATCATAATAATAAATCACAGACCACACCAGCTTCTGCCACAATAAATAATTATAATAATAATAAATCACGAACCACACCAGCTTCTGCCACAATAAATAATGATCATAATAATAAATCACGAACCACACCAGCTTCTGCCACAATAAATAATTATCATAATAATAAATCACAGACCACACCAGCTTCTGCCACAATAAATAATTATCATAATAATAAATCACAGACCACACCAGCTTCTGCCACAATAAATAATTATCATAATAATAAATCACAGACCACACCAGCTTCTGCCACAATAAATAATTATCATAATAATAAATCACGAACCACACCAGCTTCTGCCACAATAAATAATGATCATAATAATAAATCACAGACCACACCAGCTTCTGCCACAATAAATAATTATAATAATAATAAATCACAGACCACACCAGCTTCTGCCACAATAAATAATTATCATAATAATAAATAACGAACCACACCAGCTTCTGCCACAATAAATAATTATCATAATAATAAATCACAGACCACACCAGCTTCTGCCACAATAAATAATTATAATAATAATAAATCACAGACCACACCAGCTTCTGCCACAATAAATAATCATCATCATAATAAATCACGAACCACACCAGCTTCTGCCACAATAAATAATGATCATAATAATAAATCACAGACCACACCAGCTTCTGCCACAATAAATAATTATAATAATAATAAATCACAGACCACACCAGCTTCTGCCACAATAAATAATTATCATAATAATAAATCACAGACCACACCAGCTTCTGCCACAATAAATAATTATCATAATAATAAATCACAGACCACACCAGCTTCTGCCACAATAAATAATTATAATAATAATAAATCACAGACCACACCAGCTTCTGCCACAATAAATAATTATCATAATAATAAATCACAGACCACACCAGCTTCTGCCACAATAAATAATTATCATAATAATAAATCACGAACCACACCAGCTTCTGCCACAATAAATAATGATCATAATAATAAATCACAGACCACACCAGCTTCTGCCACAATAAATAATTATAATAATAATAAATCACGAACCACACCAGCTTCTGCCACAATAAATAATGATCATAATAATAAATCACGAACCACACCAGCTTCTGCCACAATAAATAATTATCATAATAATAAATCACAGACCACACCAGCTTCTGCCACAATAAATAATTATCATAATAATAAATCACAGACCACACCAGCTTCTGCCACAATAAATAATTATCATAATAATAAATCACGAACCACACCAGCTTCTGCCACAATAAATAATTATCATAATAATAAATCACAGACCACACCAGCTTCTGCCACAATAAATAATTATAATAATAATAAATCACAGACCACACCAGCTTCTGCCACAATAAATAATTATCATAATAATAAATCACAGACCACACCAGCTTCTGCCACAATAAATAATTATAATAATAATAAATCACAGACCACACCAGCTTCTGCCACAACAAATAATGATCATAATAATAAATCACAGACCACACCAGCTTCTGCCACAATAAATAATTATAATAATAATAAATCACGAACCACACCAGCTTCTGCCACAATAAATAATGATCATAATAATAAATCACAGACCACACCAGCTTCTGCCACAATAAATAATTATAATAATAATAAATCACGAACCACACCAGCTTCTGCCACAATAAATAATGATCATAATAATAAATCACAGACCACACCAGCTTCTGCCACAATAAATAATGATCATAATAATAAATCACAGACCACACCAGCTTCTGCCACAATAAATAATGATCATAATAATAAATCACAGACCACACCAGCTTCTGCCACAATAAAATATGATCATAATAATAAATCACAGACCACACCAGCTTCTGCCACAATAAATAATTATCATAATAATAAATCACAGACCACACCAGCTTCTGCCACAATAAATAATGATCATAATAATAAATCACGAACCACACCAGCTTCTGCCACAATAAATAATTATCATAATAATAAATCACAGACCACACCAGCTTCTGCCACAATAAATAATTATCATAATAATAAATCACAGACCACACCAGCTTCTGCCACAATAAATAATTATCAT